GAAGCAATTTGTACCCCTGTAGGTAAAGCATTATGTTGAGAAACTCTGGCATGCTAGACAAAATTATGGACTTCTAGCCCCAGATTAAGCTTGTTTCAGTCATTAAGTGCACAGATTCCCACTGAGCCCAGCCAGGGTTATATACACATAAGCACTCCTATAAGGATATATTTGAAAGGTGTTATTTTGTTATGTTTTTAAAATGCAATTTTGATGCAGCCTCAACAGAAATACAAATGCCTATAGATGCACAGTACTGGGATGTATCTTGGAAACTCTCAGGGAATCCAAGTGACATTCCAAAAGCTGAAAAATCTAGCAGGAGGTCATCACTGCCACAGTTCTCATACTTTCCTGGACTGCGGTTGGCTTGTATGGGATCTACCAATATAGTCAAGGAATAGAAAAATGTCCAAATGGATTCTTTCATTTTGGTGATGTAGTGCAAAGCTTTGCTTGCCAGCATGCAGGGGTCAATAAAAGCAGACAGGTCTTCAAAAAACTGCAGCATAAATAGATGAACTCTTTAAAGTAATATAAGTTCTGTCATCTTGATGTGAAATATAGACCTAAGTGCCTGCTGAAGTGAAAGCTGACCACACAGTCCATAGATAAGTGTTAAAGTTTTCTCAGGGTGTCTTGGGCTGAGAAGTGTTTTAACTACATCTCTCCTTGCCACAACAGACAGAAAGAAAGCATTTGAAGTTAAATCCATTTTTCAAAGGAAGAAAACAAAGCATCCATAAGGAAACGAAGGCATGTCACAGGATGAGGTCTCTAGATGGCCACTGTTTTCAGGGAAGTTGCAATTAGCTGTGCCATGGAGAAGGTGTACTTTGTTGTATTTCAATAGCATTTATAATGATTTCGGTAGCTAGAACGTTGATAGGTATGTGCAGGGGGTTGGCTTCAAGATTTCCTTGTGAGACAGAAGGTCAGGATTCCTGTGGTCTCCTGTCATATTTAATTCATATCCTCTAGCCCTCTTCACCACATTTATTGAATTACAGGAATAAAATTCAATGAACCAAAAACAAAAGAAGAGAGGACAGGGCAAATCCTGATTTCTTTTACATCCCTACTGCACAACTGACTTCAGTAGGCTTGTAAGAGAACATCTCAAAACAGAATTTGGAAGGAGGGGAGGTACAAGCTAGCATAAACCCTCTCACCACCCCTATAATTGCATCCGAGTAATTTATTGCAAGGAGTGACTATCTGCATGTGGGAGTAAGGATACCATTTCCACCAGTCAAGAATCTCCCTGTGCACTTTTTAAGGCTAATCTTTGTGTACTCCCTGTGTATTGTGTTTATTAGATTCCTTCTTGCCACAAATGAGATGGCAGTAGAATGGCTTTTCAAAGCCATTCTTCAGAGAAGCATCACTGGCAACTCATCACATAGGTACTAAGAGGTAATCCTCAAATATGTTAAAAATACCACTTTCAGGGAAGTGCCCTATTGGCAGGCTTGTAATGATGATTCCCTGCAATCATCTTAATTAAATTGATACAACCTTTATCCTCTCTTCACAAGCGAGCTGCAATAAGCACAGGGCTTCCAGCAGACCTGCAGAGTGGACTCTGCTGCTGGAGCATATGGAGAATAGATCCAGACATGCTCTGTGATTTTGAGGAAGAAGATTCTGTTTTGTCTTCTCCACTCCTGTTATCCTTTTTCTGTTGCCCTGTATGCTGCCTCCAAGAACTGGTCTATTTTGGGTATAATTGTGGATCACTCATATTTCTTAGCTCTCTCTTCAGTCAAATCTACCTGTAGTGTCTGCACTGTGGTTTAGACACCCGTAGAGTTAAAATAGTGCAGTCCTGTAGTGTGAGCACAGTTATATCAGAACCTCACATAAATAACCTGTACTGGTACCCAGTAACATCTTCACAACGGTGCAATTTGGGTTTAGAGCTAGGTATGTCAAAACTGGTTGTTGAGTCTGACTCAAAATATTCATTTATAAAAAAGAAGACAAAAAATGTTTTGAATTTCTATCCAAAACTGCAAGCTCACCAATATTTAACTTTGGCATTTGAATTTTTGGAAATGTCACAGTTAATAAATAATGTATTATTTTCTAAGCTACAATGTACAATTTTATTTTAAAACTTGAATCTGCTTAACTTCCAAAAATTAAGTGCTCTGCTCACGTACATGTCAACCTATGGGATGACTGCATTTCCACTTAATACATTTAATAAAGGTGACCAGATGCTTTGTGTTTTTAATGGCTTGTTCTGCATCCCAACAAAATGTCCCTGTTTTGGCTGCGACTGCAGATGATTCATTCTGAAACCCAGCCCAGCTGCTCTGACACAGCCGAGGCAGGGCACAGCTAAAAAACAAGCCATCTGTGCAAAAGAAGTGGGCTGGAGGAGTGCTTTGTCAGGAGAAGGCTGTCATTTCTTGGTCACTGGTTTCTAGGCATCCAGTAACTCCAAAATCTTATGGGTCCAACCTCTCTGCCTTTGCAGGTATATCCCATCTCCCATCATATTCTCTTCCTTCCCCCCTTGCACAGAAACTCTCCAGCCTGCTCTGCTGGGTAAGATCGTGTGGAGATCAAATGTTTCTGTAAAATATAAGACGTTGCTCCCACCTTCCTTCTGTCCAATCATATGGCAAAATTCCTGCCCCTGTAGCTGCTTCAGCCAAGCCTCATGCTAGAAGAGACAAGAAGGACTCATTGGTGACTTTTCTGAATGATTAGCTCTGCCCAGCTCTGTGTCAGTCACTGAGATAAGCAGCTTCAAGCCTGGAGAAGGTCCTGGCCCCACAGCACCTCCGACAGGAGCTGCAGGTGAAGCAGTGCGGGCACCTTCTCCCTGCCCCCAGGATGGAGCATCCCGCAGGAGCTGCTCCGGGGAAGGAAGGAAGGAAAGGTTCCTGTCAAGTTTTCTTTACAGCCTATGTTCTCCAGCATTTGAAAGAACCACTGCAACTCAAGTTATCTGCCATGCATACGAATGACAAATATGCTTCAGAGGCAATAAATTAGCAATTTCAAGGCTTTACTTCCCCTCACGGACTAATTGCCAGAGATTATAGTATATTATGAGAGAGCAATGATACTAATGCCTAAATATGCTTCAGTGATTATAGAGCTATCCTCAATAACCAAGCTGTTTAAATGTCAATGCAAGAAAGCTCTTTATTATGAGATTAAATATTATTTTGAATCAATGCAACAGGAACTTCCCAGGCTTCGTGCCTGCAAGAGCAACTGTCTTGGAGCAATATATATCAGAGACACTATGCTTTTTAAAAATGGGTACAGTAAAGGGTCCCAAAATACTTTTGTGCTGCAAATCTGAGCAGCATTCCTGATAAGAAAGAGGATCTTGGTATCTTTTATTTTGCATTTATTGCTAACTTGCTGCTGCCTTCATTCTTTCCTTCACTTTACATTAATATTTGTTTATCACCACTGTATAGAGAAGATAAATTCTTGTTTTCTGTTCCTGTGAGTGACTGGGGAATCAAACCTCACAGCCCTTTGCTTCTTTTTTTAACATCTCTAAGAACTTGTGTCTTGCACAGATGTTTTGGACAGTCCCACCCCTCACACAGAAAAAAATGTATTATATCCAGCACTGAGAGAACCCCTGGATACCAGATGGAAGTTCCAGGTTTCAGGTGACATGAAGCAGAGAATGAAAGTCTCTTCAAGCCATAACTCCAGTTCCACAGTTCCGGAGATGACGGTTGGAGATCACGAGCTCAGGTGTGGATTTAAAAGGGAGGAAGGCCACAAGGGCTTTAGCATCCTGCTAATATAATCTAAGACTCCCACACTATGGATCTTGTCACACAGCTTTGCACTTCCCTTAGAGATGACCACAGCCTATGACCCTGCAGGATACCACAATGTTTTATTCTAGAACCCCCTAAACACTGCAGTGGGTGCTGATGGCAGGATGTGGTTGCCCTGCTCTCCAGATCCAACATGCCATTCTCCTCCTGTTGCTTCTAAAGCTACCTGGTATGAGGTCTACCATGTTCCATAATTTCAGGTCAAAAGAGCTACCACATGGTCAAAGATCATGTCATGTTTCCTAGTATTTGAAGATATTTATTAATCTCATTTTGAAGTTGTAACTTAACAGAAGGTAAAACAAATCTAGGAGGCTGCACAGGTAAAACAAATCTAGGAGGCTGCACACTTCAGTTGGCTGCTAAATGCCAGTGGAAGCTCTAAAAATAATGCGAATGTCTTTGAATACAAAGCTTGATTTCTAGAAAACTTAGTAATTATAACTAATAATTGCAATAATAGTATAGAATACATATAAATAGGCCTGTGGGGACAGATCATGTAAAATTAAGACACAAATTAAGGACAACTACTAATGAAGTTAGCATCTAATGGATCCATGCCCTAATACTTTCTGTTGGAACATGGCAGTTCTTAATTCTGAATTTTTGTTGTTTCATCTTGGCCAATTTCTTCAGCCATTTTATATCTCCTCTATAAAATATAATGCTTGTTTACTTCAGAAAGTCTGAAGCTCTTTCTGATGCTCAGGTAAAAGACACCTGCCATATATGCTCAGAAAAGACATAAATTGCTCTATCATTTGTAACATTTTAAAATATCTTTATCTATTAAAATCACAGTGTGACTGACAAGGAACATGCTGAAAGGCCATGAGAGTTCTTTTTCTGCTCTTCCAGGCAGATAATAATCTGACATCTTTTTTGCTATGTCTTGACTTACAATTTACAATGGGAAACTATGTCTTTATCCTTATAGCAGTAATAAATTTACATTAATAAACTTACAATGCTGATTACAATTATGATTATTAGTAAATAACCAGAAGTAATAAGTTGACACTGCTCAAAGGAGAATTATGTGGACTTAGAATAGGGGAAAAATTACCAGCATTTGGTCGCTTTGATGCAAATATTATGGAAATCAGATTAAAATCCCCTTTAACTCTCTGCAGGCTCCTGCTGCACGCCCCCTTGCCCCCAGCTCTCACTTACCATGTACCCTGGGGCACAGGTGCAGGTCCCTGTGAGGCTGTCACAGTCGGCACCGTTGTGGCAGGGGCAGGGCAGCTGGCAGCCTTCGCCGTAGTACCCCGGGGGGCAGCTCTCGTTGCAGTAGAGTCCAGCCCAGCCAGCTCTGCAGCTGCATTCCCCAGACAATGGATGGCAACTAATGGAGACAGACAGACATGGAGATGTGGACATGAAAGAAAACCACGTCTGGAACCAGCAGCAGAACATTTCACACGCATTGCCAGGAAGAGTCATGCTAAGAACAGAACAAAACTGAAAAAGGGTGGTGAGCATAAGCAGCCATACAATTTAAGAATTGAACAGGGAATATGGTGCTCAATACCAGCCTGGCACCCCACTTCCAACATCTCAGAACTGCCACAGCACTGATAATCTTACACCTTTGAAGTTTATGCTTTTTTATTGTCAAATCAACTTGACCTGGATCACTGACATTAACCACAACACAATTAATCCATACTATTGTATGACATATATGTGCCATACTATTTGGCTGTAATACAGTCAGTTAAAGATCTACAGGGTTAGGAGAAATTCCAATGGATGGAGGAAAGCAATCAAAGGAGTTATGAAGATAAACCTGAGTCCTGTGGCCTAATATTCTATTCTATTCTATTCTATTCTATTCTATTCTATTCTATTCTACTCTATTCTACTCTATTCTACTCTATTCTATTCTATTCCACTCCATTTGTGCTTTAGAAGCGAGTGCCACCTCAGCAGAACTTTTCCATCAGGAAGAGGCAGGAAGGAAAGTGCTTTGGAAAGGGAAAAATCTCATTGGAGAAAGAGTTTTGCAGGGAATATTCAGCCACAGCGAAGAGACCTGATCACTACCTGAAGCTTTGGGATTTATTTGGGGCAGGAGTCAACAGGAGCCCTGGGACTAAATCTCAGCTGTGCAGGGAAGTGAGTCAGGTTCCTTTGTGCTGAATAATGAGCAGTGCTGCCCAGCGTTAATCCTCTGGCTTTCATTTCTATTCAGACAATTCCACACTGTCGTGAGAGCACACAGAGAGAAAAGTAGAAAGGAGAAACAAGCCCAAAAGATCAGATGATGCTTGCTCCTTCTGCATCTGGTAGGTGGAAGACTTACCCCTTTGTTGCCCCTGCTATGAAATAGTTTGTCTTTATTCACCATTTTCTCTTAGAATCATGGAATCCTTTAGGTTGGAAGAGACCTTTAAGATCCTCAAGTCCAACTATTAAGCCATTAGGGCTCTAAAGTCCTCTGCTAAAACAGATCTTCTGTGATCAGAAAGAGCATCTCCCAGGTTTTCTTAGGGTGCTAGCCACGCTGAGGCTCTGGCTGGGGGCTAGGAAGGGAGGAGAAGGCTGGAGATGTCTTAAGTCCTGCTTTGAAGAGACCAAGGTTTCTGGGCAATGGGAAGAGAGAGCACAGGGGATGTCTAGTTTGGGTCAAAAGAGAGAGCTGGGGATGAAGAGGGAATCTGATCTTTGGCAAAGGACCCCACATTGAGGCCATCTGGGAGTTTAAGGCTTGACCTGAGAGCTTTGGGAGCCTCTACAGAACAGCACTGTCCAGCCCTCAGTGAGAAAGATGAGAAATAATATTGCTCCAAATCAGATTTTCTTTATTATTCTCAGAACAAGAAAGAAGAGAGTTCTGCAAGGTGGCACCTCTCTATGGACGGCTCCTGATTTTTTGCTTCATAGAAACTATTTATTTCCCTTTATGATTATTTATTGGTAGATTTTAATGTTGCAGACATGACTGAATGGGTTTCTTTACACCTATAAAATTAATATAGTATATGTTAATTTTCAAGGTAACCTCATAAAATGTAGTTTCCAAGTACATTTCTGGAAATTACTGGTAGGAGAGGTTAGTCATATACTGTTGTGGCTAAGAATGATCAAATTTTGTGAGTGTCATATGTTTCATCATAAATAGTGTTTTACTGACTAATTAAAACAATTCATCAGCTTAACAAACTACCATGCATGAAATCCTTCTGACAAAGCAGTCCCTGAAATTATGGTTGTTCACAAAGCACCTCTTAACATTCAGATGAAAATCATAAAAGCTCATTTTTCCCCCTCTGTGTCTATTAATCATTACCTAATAGGAGCACAAAGCTAAACATTAAAGGCATTTGAAAGGGGATTTTTTGTTTCTCTGTTCTCACTACTACTGCACGCATCATGTGGTTCCATGAGAACTGCATCTGTTGGCTAAATTAAATCCTTCAAAGGTAATATATGATCATGGCAGTTTGAATCAGTCTATGACAATTCAATTGAAAACACCATACTCAGTAAGAATTTCTACTCCAAGGTTGGCTCCTACATCACAATGGACAGCTTTTATGCATGGAATGCAAGCTATATATTAAGGGCTAAAAATCATCCTAACATGCAGTAAAATAAGTAGCAAAACCCAAACAGGCTTTGCAGAAGAGTCTGCAGGAGACAGTGGGCTTGAACTCTCAACCAAGGTCCAGTAGAAGGCTGAGACCATATTTTGCCCCCCAAAAAGCCTTGTCCACTCTTTCATGAGCTAGGAAAATTGCAGTGCAGATGTCTGGGTCCCTGCATCCATATAATATTCCCCTTGAAGCAAGAAGAATTTTGTTCTCAGCCTGAGCCTGAGTTTTGCTCTTGTCCCAAGCCAAGCACTGGTAGTTTTTCAGTGCTCTGAAATGCTTATCTTCTGCCCCCTTAAAGAGTGCTGGTATTGTAGGATTAGGAAAAATCCTCCACACTGAATTCCAGAGTTATTTTAGCCATAACAATAATTTCAGGTGAGCAGCAACAGCTGGTGAATAGATGTACAGCAGGGGAAAGGGAACTTCTCCTTGACAGTAGAAGAAATTTTCCCAAAGCTTTTGGCAAGCCAAACATTAAGACACACCATAGTATTATGGTAGGACCTCAAACCTACATAACTAGGTCTGAAATGAGGTTGCAGGCTGTGTCTGGCCAGGGGACACAGGAAATTTGTCTTAGATACAAAGAATACAATGCCCTGAATCCAAAACACTTGACAATTAATGTCAGTTAAGGTCTAGTGTAGTGTTAACCTGAAGATGGCTGACATATAGATGCTTAACCAAAATTCAGAAGTCAACTGCCAATCTTGCCAGTGATTCTTGGCCATGCAGCTTACTCTTTCTGTGACACCCTTCTTCCTTTGGAAACCCTTTTAAGATCTGCAGCTCACATCATTAAATGGTACTAAGTTTTTCTTATTGTTCTTTCTCTTCTGGTATGTATGACCTGTTCTGGTAATCTAAGTCATTAGAGCTACACAGTAAATCTATTGCAGAGATGTATAAATAATATATGTATGCATGTATGTGTGAGTTAAGAACGTTTCTGTCCTGTTGGGGTTCTGTAAAATTTCATTCTGTTCAAACTATGTACCTGGACATGCACCAAGAGCTGGGAAACTCATCTGTCATCCTTCCAACCATCTAAGCATCCAGGCTGTCCAGTGAACTAAATGCTGGCTGCATCAAAGTTTAAAAGTTTGAGGCACTTAATGGCCAAGGTGTTAAGGCAAAGAATAGGAAATAGATCCATAATGTGAACTATTTGCATCATTCCTCCCTTCCTGTTCTGAAGGTACCTTCCCAGGTCATGAGTCCACGTAACATTTTGCCAGCACAGGTCACACCGTACATGAGGCACTTCTCCATGCCACTGATATGCTGAAATTAAGAAACACAATTCTTCTAGAGAAGGATGACTGAAAGGGTGGGTAAGAGGATGCAAGGCCTCCAAAAGGATCCCTGAAGGCAAACCAACATCTGCTTTCCAACCACTTGCTACCAGCAGGATGGGAACCTTGCACGCTTGAAAGAGTTTGGCAGTGTTATCTATCAGTATTTTGCATTGAACCTTAACAACTTTTATTTCTTCAAATCTCTTGCATAACAAGAAGGAGAAGTGTAGAAAACCTAGAGTGAATGCAAGCAGCCAAGCGTTGCTCTGGCTCTAGGCCACGGAGAGGTGGAAACTGGAAGGTGTCCACAGCACACAACATGGCGTGAGAAGGAAATTCTTCCACGGCTCTTGCTACAGTTTGGAAGCTACTGTGTGGTCCTTGGCTTCTGAGCCACATTTGCAGCAATAAAACATTTATTTTTTTTTTAATTTACTAGCTGAACTGAAAAACAGAAAACCATTTTTTACCTTTAAATTTTGTAAGCATCTAATTTTGAGGAAATCTGGGGAAATCAGGTAATTTAGCTGTCTTAAGGCAAATTGGGAAAAGAAATACTTTAGCCAGCACAGTCTGTTCCAAATTCTGAATTTGTTCTCCACACGTCTTTCAGCCAAAACAACTTCTTCCCAGTGAATTTCCTGCCTTTCTGTTTATACGCTAGCACCACTCATCTCATCTTAATTAACAACAGCCCTAATCCTTATGTAACAGTATTTTCTGTCTTTTGGTGTCAGATGCCCTCTTGCTTTTAAAGCATTAGCCACAATGAGACTGTAGGGTCACCACTCCAGACTAGCACATCTTAAGAGTCAGACTCAGTCAGGCACATTATTGACTTAGGTCAAGGCAAAACTTCAGGTGAGGTCCATGGGGTTTGTTTGAGAAGAGTGAGTGGCTGAGACTCTTCCAGCTATTCATTGCCCTCTCTGTTCTTCAGAAGAGCAAGCCAGGACTGTCTCAACATGGGCTTTTTGCATCAGGGAATTTTGTATAGGTGTATCCTTCCCCATGGAAGGACAGCCCAAGTTCCCAATGCATTCTAAATTACCTAGTTGTGGGGTCATTCCAGGGACCTGCACAAAGTGCCTTTCAGCGTGCTTTGAGGCAGAAATTATTGGCTGATGTTCTTCAGCCATTACTATGCAGGAGGTTAGACTAGATGATCACACTGGTCTCTTCAGACATTAAAATAGATAGATCTATGAAAACAAAAAGCTGACTGTGCATTTCTTAAAGCTCCTCAACTTGCTCCTCAAAGCCCCTTGAACTTTTTGTTCCATCCGGCTCTCCAATAACCAGCTCAAATGAGTCAAAACCACTGACAGAAATAAGCAAACTTCCCTCACCTTCTTTCAAATGTTTATATAATTATCCTACACACTTGATACTGCAACAAGTAGCCAACAGTTTAAACTGGTTCTGGGGAAAATAGATAGCTGTCAGTAAATGCTTTGGAAGAGCACAGTTCCAGTAATGATCAAAACTCAGGGGAGGACTGGGAGGAGGTGGGTGGGAAGAGAAGTATGCTGTATGGGACAGGTTAAACTATCAGTGAAAAGATTTGCTCAGAATATGAAATGCCTTTGGAGAAGGTCATTTTCCATCAGCTCTGAGGCTCCTTGGCTCAGAAACTGACAGCACTCTGAGGAGCTCGTTGAGAAGTGGAAAGCTGAAATACCATGGATGAACAAAAGAACATTTAGAGATGTACAACTTGCTGATATCTCTTTGTTCCATAACAGCAGAGATAAGATGCAGGGAAAAGGGAGATGTTTATCAATGGAGAGACTAGACTCATTTATTAAGGAAAGAGAGATAGCATCTTAGCAGAGGATGCTGCAAGTGAAGCTGACAGAGCAGCAATGGGAGGGAAGGCATAAAAATGTACCTGTCAAGACAACAACCAGGCACAGGTCAGGTACATTGTGTTAAGAATGACCACATGCCCAGAAAGTTGTGAGAGGATTCAATCTTCCAGCTTTCTGAGCTGTCTCAAAGTTGAGACCTCATCTCCCATCACAGCTGAACAGTGCTAGTCTGCTCTTTCAGGAAGGATCTTCTGGCAAACCTGCAGAGCATGTCTCAGGTAGTTCTTTGGCTAACCTAGGATGAACTCCTGCTCCCTCAAACCCCCAGTCTTCCCCCACGTACAGGACTCTTGAGCACTTAGCTAAGAAGCAGCCACCAAGCTCAGCCCTGTCCGTGGCCTGCAGTCCTTCCACCTTGTTTACACCTTTATGGGGAAACTGCCAGACAAACCAGTTTCTGCAGGCTAGGAGCAGGGTGAAGACACACTGTGAGCTGCTCTCCAAGAGCTTATTGTCACCCTTCAGAACACATGAAGAACAGCTTTCACTGAGGAGCAGTTTATCCTGCATTTACTGCAGGTTTGAGTTGTGCATGCTGGCAGGTGCTGCAGAACAGTGTGACATGCAGAAATTTATACCTTAGCTCACTCTGCAGCAATTCTTGAGACATCCCCTACCCTCAGTACAACACAGCATTAACCTTTTATGTATAACGCTCAGCTCACGCCTTAGGGATGTTATTTTTTGCAATGATTTTACAATCCACAGAATAATCAGAGGTGCTAGAAGCCTGTTGTAGAGCTACCTTTGAGGTGTCAAACACTTTGGATCCTTGCTGACAAACCCCATAGAGCCAGAGCTATCTTTCTGTAGAGGACTCGTATCACCATAATTAGAAGGCTTTTAAATAATCCATTGTGAGCTCTGACTTTCACTGAAGCCATTCTCACTGCTCAGAGTTGAACTCCAATTCACAAGAAAGATCACCTGTTTATTTCCAAGACTGAGACAAATAGAGTCTATCTCAAGCACAGCAACAGATTTGCCTGAAGTGGGGTGTGTGTGTGGGGGGGGTGTGGGTGTGCACGCACACAAATGAGGTGGCATTGCTTGCATACCTAATTGAGGAGAGTGTTTATATTTTAGCAGGCTGCAAGATTGCAAGGTAGGTTTGTCATCATCAGCAAGACAGTCAGGTCCTTCCTCAGCTGGTTTTAAATTGAAGAATGTCCGTATCAAGGGCACATTTGCTTGGGCATCAATTATCCCCACCTCCCTCTGAAGCCTACACAATCCTGAATTGGCTGTGAATGCTTAACAGGAATGGACAGAAAAAGGAGGAAAGCAAGTGGGAGCTGAGTGGGTTAGCATCTTGCAGGCATGGTGAGGAAATGTGGGTGATGGTCCATCAGAAGACCTCAGGCTAGGGTTTTTTTGGCTGCCCAGACTCCCTTTACTTTATATAAGGGACTGAGGAACCTCCAAATACAAATTCCAAAAGTCAGCCAACAAGGCAAGGAGTTAGAAAAGGTAAGAAATAGGATAATGGGGAAGACTCTTAAATTATTTTTTTTTTTTTTTCCCAGGGTTCAGAAAGCTTAGACAAGCCTGAAACAGGAAAGTAAATCCAACCTATCTCATGTTCTGTGCTTGTCTGTTTGTGGCTCTAGCTCTTAGTAACAGGAGCCTTGAGAATCAGATCAGAAAAAAAAGCAGAAGGGAATAAAATATCGAAACCTGACCTTTCAAGTGAGGCTTATTCCATTTTAGGTATACTTCCCTGATATTTATTTTCCTGAATATTTCACACATACACATACTGAATGAAGAGCAAAAATAGGCACACATGAGAAGAGATGTCTATTTTGACAGTGTCAACTTTGTTACAGTTTCATAGACTGACTTGGGGATATTGATTTCAGGCTATTTATACATCTGCCTCAAGTGTTTTCAACAAGGTAATTTGCCACAAGACATAAACTGAAGCAAATTAGGTTTCATTTTGAAAGTCCCCTTGCTGTCTACGGATTTAACAAGAAAATCCATGTCATAAAAAGAGCCAAACTGATAGATTTGAGTAAATATATCTATATTTTTTAAAACTTCAGTGGGTTATTATACATATATACATAAACCTAAGGTAATTTAGATCAAAGCTTGCAATCCAGAGGAACCATCTCTGTTCTTAACTAGAACTATAAAGAAAAAGGGAGTAATGTAGTTAATTGAATTTTTTCCCAATGCTTTTATTTGACAAGCCCCTACACTAGTACACAATAAGATGGACATACCTGAGAGTGTTGGTAATATTGCAAGGACATCTCTTGTTGCATTTGAGGCCATAAAACCCTTCTGGACACATTCTTTCTTGGCAATAAATGCCTTTAAATCCAGGGTCACACATACATGCTCCATTTACATGGTAACACTTGGCACCATTTTGGCAGTCACATCTTTGTGTGCACTGGAAGCCGTATGTCCCAATAGGACACTCTTCTTGACACCTGCAATGAAATATGTGAGACAGGATCCAATCAAACACTGTAGTCTAGTCTGCTTGTGATTTTTAGACAGGAATGTATTTGTTAATGAATTAAGTACAATATCATTGGTCATTTATTTAAGTAATGCATTGTGAACTAACGGTATCATTGGAGTGATGCGGTATCTCGGGCAGGTAAATTGCTGTTCACTGAAAGTGCATTAATCTCTGTCCAATTATATCCTGCAAAATTTGCATTCGTTAATATCACCTTAGTTAACAAAGTGCATTCTTGCTTCCTGGACCTTGACAATTCCATTCATCAACCATAAGAAATCGCTACAGAATAAGATACTTTAGGAAAAAACCCTCATCTGTGTGCTTTCACTTTATTACAGAAGGACTGTGCACCTTCTTTAAAAGCATATGGTCCTCTAGTGATAATGAGGCTTGAAAGAGAATGTGGTTTATTAAGCAATATTGAGTAAAGTCTTCTCCAGCAACTCTAGTTTTAACTTCCCTCTATGCTGTCATTGCACCAGCTTTATACCAACTAGGAGAAAATATACTCTTTTGTCTTTTGTGTGTGTTCTGAGTAACTCAAGCCTCAAATTTGCCTCTCATCTCTTACTCCAGGGATGCTCAGTCGTATAAAATCTCAAGACAAATCACTTTCACGTTCCTTAGTGTAGTATCTTCTTCAAAATTGCCAACATATTTAATATTTGATACACAAAAAAATGGAACCTGCAAACACTATGCACAGATCTTTTTAAATTGCACCTTCCGTGCACTGTTTACAATATTTCCCTACTGGATAGATTATGAAATCTGCCAAAAAGTCTGTTTCATTGTCCTACACAACCAGTTTCAGTGTTCATAATATTTCCTACTTGGAAAAGTGCCACTAAGGTCCCGAAGACAGCGACTGATTCTGTGCTTGACATAATTTAGTGGCTTCAAAATTCTGCAATAAGTCAGTACTAGAGTTTACATGATCCACCGTGAAATACAGATAGGCCTTTTCAGCTAATAAAAAAAGAGAAAGAAGCCCAGAAAAGCCCAATTCCCTTATCGCATGGATGCCAGATATTGGAAATTGCCTATCAGCATTAATTTAATCCTGAGCATTGATTAAAGTGTATACTGTAAACTCAGTGGATAGAGGCAATTGTTAAATGTTTTTCTGCAGGTCATTTCACAGCTGGCAGGTGAGAGTTAATATAATCATCAGTAATAAAAGATTAATGCGTGATGCAAGCCAGGCAAAACTGCAATGAGCACAGCCAGTATAGAAGAGCATGATTTTTGCAGCTTCAGATTATCAGGTTTTACTAAAAATAAATGAACAAAGCAAAAGACCTAGCTAGTGATTAAATTGCAGGAAGCATCAACACAGCTACTAGTTCGACAATCCAGGTTCAGGAGTTCAGAGACCCAAAGAGAGAGGAGCCTGTGGCGAGGAGGAAGGGAAGGAGCCCCGAGGACCACCACTAGCCCTGCTCAAAGGAAGCCACCAGCAAAGACTGGGTAACCTTAGGACTGCAACTCCTGAAGCAAATGGACCCAGGGAGGGCTGTGTTTGTATTAAGCTGCCTTCTGTCCCCGTTGCTGTGTGCAGCTCTGCTGCTTAGCAGGAGAGCACTGTACTCAACGAGATGAATACTCAGTCAATAGTGCACTATATCATTCTATATTTATAGAAGATGAAGCATTACCTAGCAGGGAGAAAAGCATCTGGAAATGAAATATTGACGACCTAATCCATTTACATAATTAGCCTTTTTCTACTAACAATTTAACCAACTTATTTATTTGGAGATCAAGCAGCTACCGCTAATGAATTTTATACAAAGAATACTAATAATGACTCCTCTGGAACATAAGAATAATCACAGCATGAATTAGCTTTCTACTTAAACATCTTTCCTTTGCAACATATCAATCTAATGTGTCCATAGCACCATTAACAACCAGATACATTGTTCAATTAAATTACAAAATGAGCTGCTAAGCCCTAGTTATGTTCCTTGTTTAATTTACATTGCTTTCTGCCTATCTGGGGAGATTCGTATTATAATATCCACTGAACTTTAATATGTACTATAATTATTTGGGTTGGGATAGGATAATATGGCTGTCACCTGTAGAATTAATGGAAGCAATTTCACAAAATATTAAACATAAGACAGCCTGCTTAACAGATGAACTTAGTACACACACCTACATTTTTTTCTAGATGACTTTTTTTTTTTTTCATGGAATAAGGCTGTACATTTTTTAGGCTTTTTGGTTTGTTTGTTTTGAAACAGTGATCACATTTATGTAGCACAGCCAAATATTAAAAGCCATCCAAAATACACTTAACCTGGAGATTGCCATTCTGTTGATAAAAGATACAGAGACAAACACAACAAGAGACCAAATCTGCTTGTATTGTTGTAACAAATGTGGTATTTATTCTGTTAAGATTCAGTCTCTAGGTTTAAGGGCAATATGGAAAACAAAGCTAAAGCAGTATGTTCACTTTTCCTGTCAGCCACCGAATTCTTAGACACCCCATCCTCAGCTTCTAACTGTGCTTCTGCTATTGCTCCTTCCCAGTTTGCCAAACATACATTTCTGTGACATATGCAGCCATTTCAGCAGAGCACAAAGTTATTAATAGCACTCGCCAAGTTCTTAGATATTTAGCACAGTGCCACTTCCCAGCAAACAGGTAGGGAACAAAGCATGGCAATTACACTTACACAGAACTTTATGACCATTTCATCTCCACAGATACTTATCTAACTCCATGTTATTATCTTCAGCACAAGATGATGAGCTATAGTATTATAAAGCACTTACTGACAATTGTAAAAGACTACAGTAGCTAAAGTGTGTTTACATTTTTGTGGTTGTTATTCACAATATCTGTGATTATTAAGAAAATTTCTTCAGTGCCTTGTAAAATTTTTTAGAAAAGGCTCTTTTGTCGTGCAGCAGCACTCCCCTGCCAGGTCTGCAATTATGCTGTGACACTGCAACAGTGGCACGAGATCCAGAAAGCAAAACAGACTTCAAGCGAAAATGGTGCTGACTAATCGGTCCCGTTGTCATGATGTATGAACACATAACTAAGGAAAGCAATTTAGACTTTTTAAAGGCCTTGTGCCTGCTTCCACCCTCACTGAAATCAATGGGCATGCTACCAGCAGCAAATTGGAGTTAACAGCAAGGTCCCCACCTTGCACAACTGTTGAGATCAAACCATGACAGGCCACGGGCTGTCCTAGCCCAGGGAGAGGCAGAACTCCAGCTGAATACAATGGACCTCAAGTTGCACTTCCCTTATTGAGGGCTGATCAAAGGCTGATAGATAAACATGTTTTGGCCTTCTGAGAAGCCCTTTGAAAGGTGGGAGTTTCTAGGCTAATACAGTTCTCCCCTGCTGCTAGAAAAGGTTTCTGAACTGCCTGTTTCCCTCACTCCCTCCTGTTCCCATTCACCCTTCCACACGCCCCCAGCTCTGCTCTTCTCCTCTCCCTTCAGTGTCTGTCACTGACTTACCTGCCCCTCGAGGGGGCAGCTGATCCATTCCTCAGGGTTTTGCTTGGGTGCAGGTCCACAGTATGACATTCCCTCAGCTTCTTTCCCACCTCTTCCAGCTGATCATGCCTCATTTTCTCCCTCCTTGCTTCTGTCTTCCCCAGCAACACCTCTCTTTGCAGCCCAAATCTCTCTCACTTTTCTCCAAACACCAATCTGAAGTGCCCACATGTCCTTTCCTCAGGGACAATTCTTGTGAACTCCTGTCAGGTCTGCCCTGTAGTGCCTCCACTCCCCAGGCCACCTTCTCCATCCCCTTCCTAGAGGTGATCAGCAGCAAACCCCTCTGCTTTTGACAGCAGGTAGAACTAGGTCTTCTGCTTTCTACTGACCACATCCTCTCCTCATTCCCAGTGGTCCCTCCTCTACAATTTTTTCTAGAGTGTGTAAGTGTTGCCGTTTGGGAACTCCACCACTGTTCCTTCCCTGTGCCACAGGCCTGTAGCAGAGCCAGGTCTTCTGCTGCATGTTCTCCCTCGTGGCCAGGGGCAATACTGGCAGCTGAGCAAAGAAGCTGGCTCGGCTGCAGGCTGGTGGCTGGGAGCTCCCGACAGCTCTAACACTGTTGGTTCACTGCCAGCCAGAAATCAATCTAGGTCTGCAGCAACCAAATGAGGAGACTTGAGACAAGGAGACTGTCAGCCTCCCTGAGCACAGCCAGCAATGGGGATGGCTTAGGACTGAAGTGTGGGCACCAGAAGTGCCCAGGATGTACAGTTTCTTCCTTCAGTGAAATTGTCTCCAAAAGGAGATAAAAAGAGACATTTTTGGTTAGCAACAGTGATTTTTTGGTACCCTGTGTGTGTATGGTATGGGTGCATTAAGATGACTGTGAGCAGCAGGTCAGGGGAGGTTCTCCTGCCCCTCTGCTCTGCCCTAGTGAGGCCACATCTGGAGCACTGTGTCCAGTTCTGGGCTCCCCAGTTCAAGGGAGACAAGGAACTACTGGAGAGAGTCCAGTGGAGGCTACAAAGGCTGAGAGCCCTGGGGCTGTTCAGCCTGGAGAAAAGAAGACTTGGAGGGGATCTAATCAATGCTGATCAAGAGTTAAAGGGTGGAGGGGCAAGAGGCTGGGGCCAGACTCTTGTCAATGGTGCCCAGTGACAGGACAAGGGGCAACAGGCACAAACTGGAGCCCAGGAGGTTCCATCTACACAGGAGGAAAAAAGTTCCCTGTGCGGGTGCCCAAGCCTGGAGCAGCTGCCCAGAAAGGTTGTGGAATCTCCTTCTCTGGAGAGATTCCAGCCCTGCATGTGACCCTGGGCAGCCTGCTGTGGGTGACCTGCTGGAGCAGGGGGGATGGATGAGAGGATCTCCTGAGGTCCCTTCCAACCCCTGCCATTCTGGGATTCTTTGTGGCTGAAATCACTGTCTCCAGATCATGGATGGGGGAAGAGAGACACACTGATGTCTTTTCCACTAAATTAATTTGAAATAATTAGTATTCTCACCATATACAACCACATGCAAATTTTGACATAATCTCCAGAGCCCCCTCCAATTACTGCTGTCGATAAAATGGAAACAAGGAACGTCCCCACTTAATGGGAAAGAGCATAACCTTCTGAACCCCAGCACAGTGGTGAAGGTTGGTCTGTTTGTGTGCTGTAAGACCCACTGATTGTACAGTGAAGCAAGCAATGAGAAATTTCAATGACCTTTCCTGCATAAAAGTGTGATTGTGATGTATGCCAGTGTACTGATACTAGCTTGTTCTAGCCAATAAAAAAGAGAAGATGTAGGAGAAAGGGCTTTAGCGTAGCACAGACTAGTGAGCTGTGCTGGAAACCCTGGTGATACAGTCCAACCCTTAGTGAAAACTGCATCTGAAGGCTTCTTCAGCTGCAGCTTCCCACCATCATCAGCTCTGCTGGCAGGATTAGCTGGAGGGCTAAGCCAACATGTTACAACCCCACTTTGACTTTGCTGTTTAGTCATTTTGCTGAATCCATGACACCTTTGTAAATACTATCATCTTCTCTGATGGATTTATGAGTGAAGGCTCTTGTTTATAAATTTTAAGTATTTATCACCTTTAGTTGGTGCCTGTGGTGGGTCAATGCTGCAGCAGCATAGAGGGACTGAAGGAAACATTGAACTGCTGCATTGCTTACTCTTAAGGATATTAATTTGTATAAATATAGTTCATTTACATATCTTGTAAACAAGTAATGCTCTCTATTAAATTTATCACTGTAAATATCTAAATTAAATTTAATCCATTAAGTTTTAAAAGTTATATTAAAAAAACCCTGTAAATGGAGAGCATTGCCAATAAAAAGTAATAACATTGCCACATTTATGATGCTTGAACTGCTTCAGAAGGATGAACCTAACTGGAGCAATAGAAACGTAACATCATTTTTCAGAGAGTAAGATTGTCCTAGAAGGAATATAAATATTCCCCATCCATGGTTCAAATGAAAGGCTTTGGGGTTTTGAGCTTTACCTGTCTCCTACATAGCCAGGTGTACAGATGCATTTTCCTGTCACGGGATCGCAGTGTCCTCCGTTGTGGCACGGGCAGTCCTGGCTGCAGTTAATTCCAAACGTTCCAGGAGGACATGGCTGGGCACACACCAGCCCCTGGTAAGGTTGCAGAAAGAGTAATAGTTCAGTCAACATTCAGAATGCAATAAAGTTCTATATGCAGCTTAGATTTTTATTGTCCTTTCTCCTAGAACTAGATCTAAGTGTAGCAGCAATATTTTCTGTTTAAGATGGGCTAGGAACAGTCTCAAAGTTCTGCTACCAGAGTAAATGTCTGTCCACCCTAAGTCCAGAAGGGATTTTTCTCACACCAGTACAGTCCCTGATCATTCTCTTCTTTGGGCCTCCCTCATAAGCTGCAGCTCAGGTGGCAGGATGTTCACTGCCCCTTGGATAGATGTAAGAAAGCTTGGGAGAGGTTAAAGGCAACCAGAGAAGGTTGCAAAGCTGCATATATGCTGGTGTTTTTTTTTATGAAATAGAGAGTCTGAAAACTTGTTTGACCCATCCAGGGTAACTGTCATAAAGTGAACATTTGGGAAGAGAAGGATTGATGGAAAGGCTGCACTGGGAGGATGAAAATCTGCTACTTTTGATTGCCTATGATGATCTCCCTGTTCAGACAGCCCTACTTCATCCAGCCATGAAAAAGACCAAACACAACTCCTGGAGAATTCCTCTGCTTGTCTAAGCCATGGAGGAGGCAGGAGGGGAATAACAGATAGGGATAGTTGTGGACAGCCACCACAGAAGCAATTTGACTCTTCACATCAGCAGTGCAGCAGCCTGAAGTGATTTTTGGCCAGAAGTGATTTTGCAATGGAGCATCTGCCTGACCCCTGAACACTGGCTGGATGCTTCATCCAACATCATCCCAGGTCTTTATCTCCAGCCTTGGAGTCATATCTCAGTCTCTGACCTGCCTCAACTCCACATCTTGGGGGCTATCTCCTTCCTCCATTTCACACTTTATGTTGTGTCTTTGGAGAATTTATCTACCACACTCAGGTGGTTTTCCCCCAGGTATCACATAATGTCCCCTGCCATGCATCAAGGCCTCCTGAGGATTTTCCAAGACTTTCTTAGAAGTTGTATGAATGTTTCTTTATGTGAGCAAACATAAAATGCGAGGCTGGCATCCAGCTGAGTAACTTCAGCCAAAACAAGTCTGGCAGTGCTGTGATCTGAAGATGGGGTCCTGTAATGGAAAATGTTTGGCAACAGTAGCAAGTGGAGGTGTTCCCAGTGCCATGCACGGTGTTGGACACAAACAGTGTTTTTCTGTCCCTATTATTATTTCAGCTTAATCTCTCAAAAGCCTTATTTCCCAAACCAAGCCCCAGGGGCTGTGAGTTTTGAACAGGACAAGTATTTGACATGACTTATATCAAATATAAACCAGCAACATCATGGCTGCTTTTGCTCCTCGAGCTGCTCGCTCAACAGTTTGGGAAGTTTAGCAATATCAACAGCCCCAGAGTGGAGAGGCTGCTCTTCAGTGTAATCATAAAACAGATACTTCAGGCCTTTCCCAACCAGTGATAGGTGGCTCCTGGGCTGGAAAATAGACAGGTTGGCCTCAGTTCAAGAACTTTCAGATCACAGCGTTAAAAAACTGGTGTCTCTGGACTTGGGTAATACACAACACTATATATCTGAAAATGTAAGCATCCATTTATCTTGATAATAAATACTTTCTCTCTTCACCTCTCAAAAGGAACAGGATTTCTATCAACAAATGATGAGAAAGCAATACTCTGTGATGCATCTCCCTGGAGCCAAGAGAATCTTTAGGCGTACATTTTGCATTAATATGTACTGAGGGAACCCAAAACATCCCTCTCCAGAGGATCAGATGTCAGACCAACGTTTCCTGCTGCTTACACATCTAATCAGGAAAGTTCACCTCATCAGCACCTTTTTTAAGGCCCTGATATCATCAGCTTCTGCCTTTGACATTGCTTGATATATTATTACCATTTTGTAGTATAGAAAATACATTTTTCTTCTCCATTTTCTCACCCTCGCCTGCCATGTTTCAAATCCACAAAGGAAAGAGAGAAAAATAGAACAAAATACAAATTACAGTTGCTTCATACAGCCCAGAGGCAATGAGAAAAAAAGTGATCAGCAGAATGTGTTGTACTAAGATGGCACCATGATGCAGAGCCTTGAGAATGGGACCTGGGACCAAACAGGGTGTGTGGCCCATGACAAATGTTCTGCCCTGTAAGGAAAGACTGATGCTCTCCTGAACACAGAGATCTACTCCTTCAGATGTGTTTCTGAGAAGCACTGTAAATGCCAACTTTAAATTCTCTCCCTACTTCCTGAGAGTGCTTGGAAAATTTAATACTGCAAATGAGAGAGATGTATGGAATTAAACCTGTACATTCTTAACGAGGCCCTGAAGCAGCCACCCACTAACTCCCAGAGCCACACAGACACGGATGTGGAAAAAGCCCAACATCGCAGCGAGCTGGAAGCCACATTTTGTTGATTAGTTCAACAGTACATGAGGATGTTGTTAGCCATCATCCTCTTGGTGAAAAACCCATGGGACAGGAAAATCTCACAGGACACAGTTCATATAACTTGTGCTTCTGGGAGAGGCTGCACTGGGTGGGAGGATGCAGGAGGAAAGAAGTATTACAAGTAATAGAAGAGCCAGGCTTTGAAGGTGGCAGATACAAGGAAGAACCTAAGAACTCTAGAACTTCCTCCTGTTCAACATATTGCCTTCCCTTGCATATCCCATAGGCAACCAAGCCCCTGAGGGAGCTGAGTTGCTGTTAATAAGCCTACCCTAGGAAAGGATAAAAGTCACTGCTCATCCAGCAACAATAAAATCCAAGTGGATTTGCACTTGTATAAATCCAGGGAGAATTCTCTCCTTCCAGCGTGATGGTACATTCAACACATGCGTGCAGTCTCAAGCCTCAAAATCAGCAAGTAAAATTCCTGATGTCAAAGAAAGACTATCCATGGTGTGAAATAAAACAAATGCTGTCTAGCAATCTCATCTTGCTTGCTTGTTTGCAGCCCACTCATGTCTCACTTCCCAAACCATTCCAGCCACCAAGAGTTAAAAATATAGCATGGAAAAAATATATTTTTCTCTCTTAGGGTACTGAATTACAAGCTTTTCATTAAAACCCTGGAGAGACCCTTTATACTTAAAATCTCAACATTTACAAGCTGAGTGCTTTTACTTATAATTTCAGTTTCTTTCCCCAGAATACTTGATCTCTCTCTTCAATTTTCAGTTATGCTTGTTTCAAACATCAATTGTTAAGTCTTGGGTATCTCTGGGGACAGAACAGCCAACAACACAGTTTTCAGGAAAATCTCTCTGGGCCACTAAAAATGCAGAGAAGAAACTCCAAGCTCTAAGGAACGGGGCAGAAGTGAGCTGGAACACACGACCACAGCTGCTGTGGAGCCTCAGTGTTGTGGTTCTTCTTTAGGGTCTAAGCTGCATCCTAAAAGACCTTTAAAAATTTCCTACTCTATTCTGATATTCTTATCTAGTTAGTGATTTTTTTTAACTTTGTAAAAAAAGAGAAAGCTCCTGATAAAATGCAGGTAAGGAGGTGTACAGCAAAACAACTCGGGTCCTGAGAACTATTGGCATGCAGAAGGTAAGGGGAGGTGAAAAAAGTATCCTCAAAGTGATATTTTTATATTAGTCACTTTATCGATCACTTCTGAGGTGTAGTGCCTGAATGGGCTGATAGGCACTCAAAAATATCTGAATTGCTTCTTTTATACTTTAGTCCCAACACTCTTCAGGAAAGAACCTTTTCTTTGTTTCCACTGAATGCCACTTGAGGGTAAGTGCCACACTCTTACTTAAGTTTCTGAAATGTTTTGCCAGCTTTGTCATTTGAAATGGAATAACATCATCACCACCTTTGTCATGCCTGGCTAAGTTAGAGAGACTCTAACTCTCAAGTTAGAGAAAGACTTTCCATAAACACCTTCCACCAAAACTTATGGGCAACAGTGTTCTTCTCCCAGGCTGCTGCCTGATAACCAGCAGGATCTCATGGTTGGTACTTTTGAACTAAAAGCAGAGAAATTTGTTTGAGAAATGGAGGCAGCATTTGCTGTACGAATCTAAAGGAACATAAATATCTTTCACAGTGCTTAAATGTCTCGACAGGTATAAGGTCCACACCAGAAGCTGTAGTTGTATGATGATCTCCAGGGCCTTCCATGTATTAAAATAAAAAGTCACAGTACTCATATGCATTAAAATCCAGCAAGATTGCCAAGACACTAATTGTCAGACACAGGAAAAATGCCAGGAAATTCAGTACAGCTAAATGGCATGTAGGCCTGCGAGACTTGGCAAACCCCAGGAGAGTTAATTATGACATTATTGATGAAGTTGAGGACTTTTAAAACGTTTGGCCTTGCTTTCTTGACAGAAAGGATTAAAGGTTAGGGCAATTTGCTTTCTCCAGTGCAACCCTTGATGCAAGCAGATCTATTGCAACCCATGGGAACTGGGCCTGAGTAAGGACAGGTCTCTGTGGCCTATGTACGGTCCTGCTTAAATGACTGCCCGAGGCACTGAATTCCTCCTGGCTTCTCCCTCTCTCCTGGAGGGGAAACAGGACAGTGATTCTGACAACGCTGAGCTGAGCTTTGAGCTTTCTGTCCCACGTAAGGACAGAATTCCAAGGGAACATTCCAAGGCACTTTAATTCAGAGACAACTTTTTCGTCTCTTCTCCCACAAAGTGTAACGAGCAGCCACTGCTTCCCTTACTGTTTCTTTAACTCTGTGATGGTAGCTACCAGCTGTAGACTGGTGGCCTGTCTGTGTGAGTGCTGTGCACACATACAAGAATTGTCCCCATTTCAAGAAACAGCAAATACACATCACGAGCATCTGCTGAGACCGTGGACAAAGCAGGAACAAGCCACTCACCATCCATCCAGCAGGACAGGAGCACTCCCCAGTGATGTGGTGGCAGACTCCTCCGTTCTGGCAAGGGCAGCGCAGTTCGCACTGAGCTCCGTGACTGCCCGGGGGACAGCGCTCCTCGCAGCTGGGTCCAGAGAGAGGGAACAAAACACAGAGATCGTTTAAAAGGACTTTCAGTAAATGAGGAAAATCCACCACGCAGGCCAACATGGGAGCCCTTATGTGTATTATGAGGCCTCAGGAAGCCTCAGCTGGCATTGCCAACTAACCAAGATTTCTTTTCATCGTGCTGTGGTTATTTATGTGCCCTGGATTTAGTCCTGTAAGGCTGATGCATGTGTGTAATCTTTATACACGTACCACATTCCACCCATCTCAACAGGACAACTCATATCCACTGAATAGCCCAGCAAAGTAAGAGTTGCAGGACTAAGCCCTCAACGTGAATTATGTGATGTGACAATAAAAGAAGCTGCAAATAGAATAAAAGGATGGGACTAAAATGCTTGAAATTTCTCCAGTCAGTACTGAACGTTAACATTTGCAGTGTAAAATGGACTGGCAAGAACAGCCTCATTTAAAGGTTATTTAAGCTCTTTGGGTCTCTTTCAGTATTCATGGGGGGCCAATGTAAGGCTAGTTCCTGCAAAAACCAATCTCTCCTACATTTGCACATTGGTGCTTTTCAATATTGCTTCTTTCTCTAATCCCAGGTTCTGAAACTACAGTAGGTTCTTCCCTTAATTGACTCTCCTCTGATGAAGGTGTTCATACAACACATGAGGGGTTGGCCCTGGAAGTGCCTACTGCTCAGAACTGGCACACTGACATCAGTGGCACCACTCTTAATAGGAAGCAGTCTTCAGCAGTGAGCACTTCCAGGGCTGAGGTCACAAGACTCTAAGAAACTCAGGTATTAAATAATATATTCAAAAGGTATTCGACTTACTTATGAGGGTTAATTTGTCTTTATTTTTTACCTTCCCCTTCATGCGGGTCAACAAATAATATTAGGTTGCAAAAGTATGAAGTCAATTGTAATAGGTCTCCAGCCAAATTCAGTGACTAAATTCTCTTTTCCCCTTAAATAATTTTGAAAAACATAATTACTTCTGAAACTACTGAGAGATCTCTAATGAGAACTGATGTTACACTGTGGGCAATTTTGAACAAGGAACTATTGCTTGCTGTCCTAAAATTAATATGCAGATTTTGTGAATCCTACCGGTAAGCTCTCAGTGTGGTGGATGGGGATTTAGCTACATGATTCTCGTTAAAGTTAACAGGAGTCACATGGCTAAATCCCTGCTCACTATGCTTAAAATTTACCCCCTAGACAGTAAGCCGATATAGTTAACAGCAGTGCTTCTACAGTTAGAGTGAAATAAATTTGGGATGATAAGTCCCATTTGATACCGCACTGGACTGCTAATGAGTAGAATGTCCAATTGCTTATAAAAACTCAATACCATTTGGATTGTGTTTACCTACTGAAATTAGGAACAGGTACAGTTGTGCAAGCTGGAAAAGATAATGGGTTTGAAGTTCTTCAGCGCCAAGTTTTATTTTATTATGCAGGGAGGTAGAATGAGGAAAAAACCCAAATTCCTTCATTTAGCCTCCCTGAGGTTCCGCGTTACCCTGTTTCTGTGAAGGGAAGGGTGCAGCTGCATAGCCTGTTACTGTTCTAAGGGGTGAAAGCAAGGCTGTGTGCAGCCCAACACGCACTTACAAGACGCCGGTGTAGCCGGGGGCGCAGTGGCACTCGCCGGTGCGGTGGTCGCAGGTGGCCCCGTGGTGGCACTGGCAGCGCAGCTGGCAGCCCTTGCCGTAGCTGCCCGGCTCGCAGAGCTCCTCGCA